ATACCACCAAAACATTCAAAGAATACAATTCAGTAAAGTTTGAAATAAGTTTTGCAATGAATTCTTTGCAAAGAAAATATTTCCAGCAGCGAGAGCGATTACCGTTTCCGTCGTTTTTTTCTGAAATATGTGTGGGCGAAGTTGCATTGTTTAAACGTACATTCAGAGAACAAATGCGAAATCAACGGACCATAAATAAATGCAAGACAAAGCAACCGTGATAACGAAGTATGAAGCAAGAGCGATGACATTATGAAATTTTTATTCACTGCTTTCGAAAAACGAATCTGAGGTAGCGGCGGCTGTTGTATACTAATTCATTGTTTCATCACTGCCTATTGTTAGTGCTAAACCAAAATATTACTGTGTATGAATGAGCTGGGAATAATTAATGCGTGATTCGGGATGAGTATATTGTCAAAAGTATACAAAATAACATGTTTTATCAAATTCTGGAATTCCCGCAAGTTTCAGAAAAATCCCGGGATCGGGATTCAAAAATCGGGATCGCAGGATCCCATCTAAAAACTAGCCGATGTGATGAGATCAGTTGTCAATCGCGCCATTTTCACATCGTCCACAACTTCTGTCGTGAACAATTTGTTGATATGAGAATAGAATCAACGAACCTTTGTGGATTTCATTGGTCCATTTCGCGTTGAACATATTTGGATGCTATCGGTGACTCTTACTGATAAGCACTTGCGACTGTAATTGAGTTCGAGTGCTTGATGTTAGCATTCAATGCACCACTTTTATGCACACGGATGGATAATAGATTGATAGGTCTTGTAGTGAGATTAACTGGAGAATGACGCAGATATATGAATGCTGAATATGCACTTGGAGTGATGAAAGAGTATCCATAATAAGATTACTTCGAGAGCATCGCTCACAAAAAAAGCCTTTTCGAGGATTATGCGCAATTCCAAATGGAACTTACAATTAGAGTCACTGCTTGAATCTTAATGAAGTGGATATGTATATGATTAAAGTTGACTCTTTACCTTCTTTTACTCATTTAAATACAAATGTGTAAATAAGTGCATGTTGATCAATCATGAACATATGAATATGTACAGAGAAGTTTGCTAAAATTTGGTGAGGAGAGCTATCGTGTCTCATTGATTAATTTTGCTTGGTTCATTATTAGAATTGGATCGGCAGTCAATCATTTTTATGAAAAATAGTTCAAGTTAGTCGGTATTATCACAATTTCTGTCTTGTGTGAAACATAAATTGTCAGAAACGTCTCAGTGGCCAAGAATTTCAAACGGTGCATTTACAGTGCATTCATATGTTCATTTCCGCATTTCAGTTTAGGGTTTACGTTATTTTTGTTTTCATCACTATTGTTTATTATAGTTTATCAAGGGAATTGTGATGTTTTGAGTGTTGAATCTGAGATAGCGATTATTGCATACTGATTTATCGTTTCATCACCGCTTATTGTTAGTGCTAAACCAAAATATCTTTTCCGACTCAACTGCGAAAAATCAGAAGAGGATCATGAAATGTGAAAATTTTCGAAAGAACTTATTTCACGGTCGGGTGAATCAAACGAAATCTCTATCATGTAGTAGTTCGCAAGATGACGCTTCGTAAAGGGCGGTCGGCACTCATCCTTTAATCTTTATTCCACTCAACAACATTCACTCTTATTTTCGTTACTATCCATCATGCTCGCACTGACTTTACTTCGCAACTTGCTACCTGAGCATTCAGATAAATACAAATCACTCAGATAAATACAAATCATTCATTTGTTCATTTACTTTTATTTTCATTTCTCATTATCTTTCTTTTTTCATTCAGGAATGAACGAATGCATTTCATGTACTTCCGTTCAAAAAATGTTCATTTCAATTTATTCGCGAACCAATTTGTTAACTTTCTTATAGACATTTTTCCTGGGTTATCATCCCAAATCCATTGATTGCTTTCATTAAAATTGTCGTGTAACACTTGCATCACTCAGACTGACTAAATAATACATGAAAATCCAATTTTACGAAATAATCTTCAACATTATCCACGGAATGAATTATGGCTCTGGTGACATTCGTTAAATAAAAATTTTCATGAATGCTTTTTGACATGATCTTGATCAATTTGCATGAACAACTTCATGGAATTTACATGGAGTAGGATCTGTTGCTTGATGTTGGCGATATGCGTCCCGAATTTATCTTGTAAAAGTGTGAATGAATCATATAATATTGCATTACAATTATCAAACCTTAACATGACTGTGAATTTCATGAGGCACGTGAATATTTCATTAAGACATGAACATTTATCAATCATTCAGAACAATATTGATGAACCAAAAACAAAAATGAGCGAATCCTTTTTAGGGAACATTAATTAACTGATTAATTCTCCCTTCATGTCTAATGCACCGGTTAACTCTCTTCACTTTTCATAATCTCATACGCAAACCTATCAGTACCAGTTTCAATTTAAATGAGTCAGCCAGTATTTTCATGCATAACCCTCTGACGTCGATGCGATACTGCAAAATTAATCCAAGATTTTTTTTCACTTCGCAGCTGAACGCTAAACTAAATTCAGCAGAATCATCTCGTTCAAAACCTTCTTTCTCTGTTGTTACTTTCCATTAAAGTTTATTCAAAATGTCCATAGGTGATCGCTTTGAACTGTTTATGTGATTTCTCAGACTCAGCGCTTCGAATAAAACCAAATGTACACTCCGCAGATGCAAGTGAATGACTCCATTCATGTGTTGATTTCCAGTAGCCTAAAGCACACACACACAATTAGGCATTCATTTCTTTTTGCGATCAACAATGAGTGTCGAGTGAATACTTTTGTTAAGAAGCAAATGTGACATAATCGTTATTGTCGGCACTTGAAATTTATTTGGATTTCTTTTGAGACAATGCAACGAGAACATTTCAAGAAATCTTTTCAGAGCAATTCACTGCCTGCAGCGTGCATTCAAAGGAGATGTGTTTTATAAAAACAGTTTAAAAAGAGTTGATCAATGCACCATACAAATGTATTTTTAATGAGAATCCTGTTATGTTGCATTCGAAGAAACAGTAGTAACTAACTCCTTTAATCTTGTCTAAATGCTCTGAATCGATTTTGAATTAGAAAGTTTAAGTTCGGCCAACAATTTGCTACTGTTATACAGCTTTTTCGGAACTGAAATCTTCATTTTGCATTCATTCATCGTCAGTATAAAATTGCTTTACGCATTTTCACTTTGGCTATATATTTATTCACACAGTTATATAGCTAATAAGTGCCTTATCCATTTAATTTTCATGAATGTTACCCACCAAATAAACACGTTTCAGATGAAGGAATGGATAATGCATCTGGTTGATTTACTGATTCAGTTATAAATAAGGCATTTGAGTGTCACCTTCGGTTCAGCACTACATTGATCCTGTCATTCTCATCAGTCGACACACATTTGACCGTTAGGAATGAATGTCTGATTTGCATCTGAATTACTTGAATGTTTTAAACGTAATATTCTTGGACAAACTGCAAATGATCACTGAAATGAACAATTCAACCTCGCAGCACGTCTGCACCAATGAAACAATTCTCGATGGAGTTTGTTACGGTTTAGCTGTATGTGGCTATTGTTACGATTTCGGCGAATCTATTAAACCAACCAAAGAATATCAACAATATAATCTGGTACCTCATTATTCTGTTCTTCATTCATTTTTCAAAACGTTTTCTTAAGCAAACATTGCCCGCCGTACGTTTCATCAGTTTCCGATGGTTAGCCATAATATTCCATCGAAAATGATGACTAAGTTGAGCCCTCGAATCTCACCCAACTCAATTCAGATTGTGATCGGTATTATATTGCCTTTAATTGGCACATGTGGTTTGATTGGTAATTCGATATCTGCGTTTATTTACAGTCGAAAGTCGATGTTAAGGTTAGTGCTTATGAGCATTATCAACCAAAGTACAATAATCAGTGCTGAATTATTGCAATATGCACCATCAACTGAATTACGGTGGACGTGTTCGAATATTTGAGTAATATTTAAGAGCAATGGGGCTTACGCCAAACATTGTAACAATCAGCCTGTGAATCGCTACCGTAATGAATCCTTTTAGCGACGACTAATTTAATGTATCACTATAGATTATCATAAGTGACCCTCAGAAGACCACTTTTGGTGCAAGAATCTGAGTATGTCATGAGTGTTGTGTAACAATCAGTTGAACTAATGAATGATTTCAGTTCATTGAACGTATACCTGTGTGCATTAGCAGTTTCCGATATGACAATTATAATAACGGCGTTTTTCTTGTTCTTTCTTGAGAACATGCGAACTCGTTCGGTATTGCTCTCGAAGTTTTTCGCGACGTTGGCACCAATAACATTTCCACTTGGATTGACCGCGCAGTCGTTATCGGTTTTCTTGACGGTCACTGCAGCGATTGATTGCTTTGTTTTGGTCGCGTCATCGCAATCCATCAAGCAACGATTTTGTTCAATTAGTCTATCGTTTCAGGTTAATTTTCATTTTTTCAAACTCGTTTAAATCTAATTCGTTCAGCCGTAGTCCATTTGAGTTCTTCTATTGAACTATGAACAGTTTAACGAAGGATAATTGCGCAAAATAATTTCTGCGAAATGTATCCCATACAATGTAATGTTCATATTGGAAGATCCTTCTTAAAGTGCATGCCAAACATATATTAATTAAGCACTCTAAACCGACTTATTTGCTCTACCTTGTTTACGACTACGTAACCACAACTGTTTGCGTTCAGAACGTTTAATGTGCGACGAGCATTTTGGAAATGAACCGTAGAGCGAGGCGAATTGCAATAAGCCAGTTTCAATTTCATCTCTAAATCCCATGAGTCTCGTATTTAAGAAAGATAAACTCAACGTTGGTTCAATCGGGCACATAAACACGCCCGTTCGGCCGCGAAAGATACGTCTCATAGTTGCATAATTCGTGAGAGAATCCAACTTTGCCTTAGGCATTCAGTTGATCAAGAACATTCAGAAACACTTATTAACCTTACCGCAATGACGTTTATGATAACTTGGATGGACACACATTTTTCCATTGAACATTCATTGTTATACATATTTATGAAACTGTTTGAGTAATGAGTTCGACTTTGACACAGACTTTGCGCACATCATCTTTGGTACATCATGAAAACATGGTGAATTCCTATCACTGTCCGAGATTGTTCTTGAGGGCAAGGAGGCATTGGCATTACTCTGAAATCATGTAGCGATACATATATCCTAGAGAATTTCCATTCTTTCATTAACACAGTTGAGGAAATTATTGAATTGAATTAAGATCAACAATGATTTCAAGGTCACCAAAAGTCAGATTAGCAAAGAAGCTTATGCAATACCTTCATTTATGCTAGAAAGTTTTGAGGACGGGATGACCATTTATCGTTTGATGCAGAAAAATCCTCAGAACAAGCCTAGAGCAAGGTGCGAACTTATTCACTTCAGCAGATAATGATTGAGATGTTTTCAAGATTTTTATTCACGTGATCCGATGATGAAGCTGAGCATATTTATTCATCATTTTCCAAAATTTTCCTGATCAACATCGCTAACGATTCACGTTTGATCTGATTATTTATCATTTCCAATTGGAAAACATTTAAAAAGTTGAAATGTGGGAAAATGAGAATAAAGCACTGAAGTTTGTATAATATAAAACAGACCGCGAATGAAAGAAAACGGCACTGAAGAAAAACTGGAACAAATGAATTAAATTATTGAATGAAAGTTCACAAAAAATAAACGCATTATTTAGCACCATTATGGGCAATGTAATCCACAGTAAAAAGCATTTGAAATTATCCTCAGATCCAACATCTATGAGAACAGCAGTGTGAAAAAAGTACCAAACTGTGCATCTTCAGAATCGAGGTTTTGTGGCGTTGTTCAGAGTAAAATTAATAGATCGTCTTCAAAAAACGGAAACGTCGGGTGATTCAGCGATTTCTTGAGTTTATGATTTCCAGACGTGAGCAACACGGTTTCCAAAACTATGTAATACATTGTTTTTTTCTCCATATAGGTGTGAATCATGGTTTCTTCCGTTATGCCTGGGAGATCAGTTGAAAAATTTAAACAAAATAATGTCAGAAGGATCGTGAACGGTTTGAAAACATGAGAATTCATCTATCTCAGCGATCAACCAGAACTAACCCACTCAACTTAGTTAATTGCAAGTTTAATCACTCCATCTGAAATCTCACTTGAATTTTCATTCAATTTGTTGCTACTAATAGCAATTAATCTAATTTGGATGTCACTATTCCAACTTCAAATGCTGGTCAGCTGATGACAGGCAGCAATGTCTTAGTTGTTTGATGTTTTGCATATGAGTAATGAGTTTATACAGTTGTATGGCATAGGATATGTATGCGGTATGAAGCATAAGTAAACGAATTAATTTCTCACTGATACTGAGTCCAATCAAATAAAACTTTGTTCAGTCTCTTCACATCATGCAAATTTTCGTTTATTCAGTTGAACATGTAATCAATCAGATTCATGCAACTTCGTTACTTTCATACTGCTCGCATGAATCTTCATGTATTTACGACTCTGCATATTCATTTGTATTCTATACATGCACGTTTATGTAAGTATGTATATAGAATAACAGGGGAAATGCATTAGTATTTTAATTAGAGAATGCAGCCGTTGTTGAATGAAAGACTTGTTTAAATGAGTGACTGGCTGATGAAATGTGGAATCGATTTTGAATGGAGTGCATAAGCACCATTAGGTTTTTTAATAGGCTCAAATTTGAAGTGTTTCAGTTAAATGTATACGTATTCTCCTCTCAGCGAACTAATGCTCATTGCACTACGTCCATTACCTTTTGTCTCAATTTCGAGGAATTAAACGGACTTATGATTTAACCGTAACTTCAGTGAAAAGGAAAAGTTGACTTTCATCGCTTTTTTAAAATATTTAATGTTTATAAATTGAGCACTGCAAATTGACATGAAGTGTATTTGATTCGCAATCAAATCCACGCAGCGATAAACAACATGCCATACTCATATAATCTAACTTCCTCTCTCGCCACTCATTCGATGCAATATTTTCCGGAATTGCGCACTTCATAAGAAATTTACATTAAGATATACAACGCTAGATTCCAGTCGTTCTTGCACCGTCATTCTTTTAGTGATTGCAACTGCATAATTGTAACTTTATTTGTGAAGAATTTCTGCCGTAAGCACTGAAAGAAGATCAACGAATTGAAACATAATCAAAACTAAGAAACAATAATGTTAGAGTGATCACTGTCCGCATCATACGGTACCGTGATGAGCTGGAATTGCCGACGATGAATGATTTGGAGGGTGAATCGCGGCTAGAAGTAGCTGCAATCAAACAAATTGATAGCTGTAATTGCAGCAACGCAAAGAGAGTAGATTCTGCTGAATGAATTCCATATCATAGAGCCACTGTAAAATCTCAAAAGCATACTCTCCAAATTCCAGAAAAGCGCTAAAAGATGTTTTAAAAATCTGTTACTGTCTTTGACGACGGGAATGCTCGAAAGACTGAGCTGAAGTGAAGAGTTAGTCTGACATGTCTGTAGATATTCGAGCTTTTTGAAGGTTTCTCCTCATAGTCCCAGTGAAGAAGAGGTTTTTTTGCATTCGGATCAAGTATTGAGTGAGGAACAGAAGTTTGAGAGAGGCATTGAATGGGAGTCATTATTGAAAAGGGATTGTGACGTTTTTGAGGAGGATTGTGAAAAGAATCCGATATCCATGAAATAACAACGATTGACTGCAGAATAATTTTGTGAACTTCTCTGCTTACCGAGAAGTTGGTGCTCATGTTTCGCATGCAATTGAAGACGATCACTTTCGTGGACCAACTCGATCTAATTTTTGATTTTCAAGCGTCATTTCAGCGTCTGTTGTACAAAATGATTTTTCGTAAGATATTTGTGTTTCTTTATGCTTTTTAAGCCTGAAACTTGAAGCAACACCTGACTCTCATTTGATCTCTTACATTTCTTACGTTTTTACATTCGGTGTCCCTATTTGCATGGAAGCTAGCATCGAAATTTGCTAAGATTAAATCATCTCGAACAACGATGGATGACAGTTGGAGGCTGCTTTCTCACAGTCTCGGTGCAATTATCGTATGAAGTGAAATAGCTTTAAAATAATGCCAAACATAATCGAATTTCAGGTATTAGCTTGTATCGTATTCATGGCAGCACTCTACAATTCACCCCATATGTTTGAAATAATTGTTATTGATTGTTGGAGTGTTCCGTATTCACAACAAAGTCTTGATGTTTGTCCAACCGATCTTCGTCAAAGCGAGGTAACTTTTAATGCAATAAACGAGATCTAATAATAACCAACTAAACATGATCAACAGCAAATTGATGGACTGACCTCAAGCATAGTTAAGGCATGTCTGAGATTTGAATAGAATGTTAGATGGATGTATTGCTACCTAAAATACCTAAAACGCCGTACTTATTTATTCAATCATTGAAAACGTTTGGCATTTGACGTAATCGTTACAATGGATTAGGTCAAATAATAGAAGAATTAAGAGAGCATGAAATATTAACCTATGTGTACATACATGATTGATTTGCATATTCTCGAAGTCTCGTGCAAATGCATCATTCAAATGCTAAGTGCAAGCAAGATAAATTAAAATTAGAAATGAAATGGAAAACATTTTTGGAGGCAAGAAGAAAAAATTTTTTTCGAATATTTGGAATTCAGAAGACGAGGAAATTATAATAAAGTGAAGAATGTTCTGTACTTGATGTTTAAAATAATGCGAAAAAATTCGAATCAAACATATGTAACGATTCAGTAATACTATAATTGTGAAACTGTCAGTATCACAGCTGCCATCTTGTGATGGTATTTGCTGAGAGTTTTATGTTTTGGATAGTAACACTGTCCAACAAACTTTTATGTCTTAATGACATGTGAGTTTTAGTTCTAGGACGGTTCATATGTAGACCACAACATCGAAAACTTTTTTCATGATTGGGCTTTCCACCGATACAATCATAACATTCATAAATGTGTATCTTCAACAGTGGCTTTTGAGTCACGAACAGGAGAGCTGTTTTACAGGGTTGTTTTTGCTCAGATAACACATGTAAAGTCTGTTTCTCAGGGAATGACTCCATTTTTGTGTCACTTCGAAATTGAATTTATCTAATTCCGAAGCAAAAAATATGAACTTCAGCACGGTGCCAAATGCAATGTAAACGTACTTTATGGTAGTCATACTTCATGCACTGCAAATTATCAAGGGCGAGGTGGTTAACTGATCATAATAAATACGTATTAAGTGCAGCAAGTTCAATTTGGATATCATTTTGATAAGAACATTGAGCAGCACTTATGTAATATCCTTAAGTTGCTAACAAGATCGCCTAAATGATGGTTGAGTTCATTCCAAAATTCGCATTTAAATGCTTTTTTCATTAGAAAATTGATTAGGAAATTGCACTGAGATAGGGTCATTCCATGACAAACAAAGTTCGTATTCGTTATCTGCCCAAAAAACAGCTTTAGAAATGACTTTCGTGTTGCTGATTCAAAAGCTGTCTTTGGACAATAAAGTTACTTGCTTATATTGGTGAAAAAAAATGCAAAATTCATGCTCAGTCATAAAGAAAGCAGTTCATTTCCGCGATTCACCCAATAAACTGGAAACTGGTGTTTGCGTTAATTTCCGCTGGACAGTGTGAGTGAACTGTTATATGATAAGAAAAAATTAATGAATTGATCGTGAGTAGATTAGAGTAAACAATAATTTGAATAATATCAGCTGACCAGTAATTATGGTAAACATTGTAGATGTATTTTACTGTATATTATGCGTGGATGTATACACTGGTGATGGCCGTAGGGCCGGTAGCATTGTTGATTGCTCTTAATTCAGCGATTATAATTTATATGAGACATCATCCACCTCAAGAAGATAGTGACTCAGACATTATCACGCTCGTTCTGGTCGTGTGTCTGTTCATTTCATGCAATATGCTTGTAAGTTTTACACTTTTTATGAGATGACTGTTGGGTAAGGTTTTGGAAGATACAAAATCATTCCGATTCAATAAATAGGATTTAGTTGGAATTGAAGTCTGCATACAGCGATCGAGTATATGAAGGTCACGTTCTGTGTATGAATAACCGTTTTATTTGCAGCCTCTAACCGTTAATTTTTTGGAGTTATTCTTTGGCATCGTGAATTCGTATTTGATAGATTTATCGAATTTAATGGTTGTTGTTAATTCATCGTGCAATTTTCTTATTTACTACGCGTTCGGTAGCAGATTTCGACGTACCCTCAAGGAGTATCTGAACTCATTTCTACGCCGATCTACAGCATCTTCGTCACCATTCGATGTCACTAATAAGATCACTAATGGAAACCGAAAATTCGAACATATGATACCGCATACTGAAGTTCTTATATGATTGTTGATTATACTGCTGTTGTTCACAATATTTTATCAAAATAATACCACCAATGCGTATCTATTACCGATTTCAGTTTCGTTCTCTAATCGTAATTTCTTTCTATTTTCTATTGTTTGTTGATTATTTTTTGGGTGATATTTGATAATTTCATCATTGGATTGATCACAACGCTACCATATATTGATTGGTGGATAGCTGAGATAAGGGTTATTTCTAAAATCGTTCCCGTTTTTCTCTTGTAATAGTTCATCATATCGGCCAGTCTATTATACTGCTTTTATTCTTCATAAGTTGTACCCGACGTAATCATTTTTGCTGTTGTTGTTCAGTCAGAAAGAGATTTGCATGATCAACGTGAAAATGTTTGTTTTTTGGTGACTGATTTAAACTGATGACTACTCGTCTAGGGAACGGATCACTTATTACGAACAATTATAAACAGTTTCATTAGTGCACGAATATAAGAATAGATCTGTGGCCGAATTTCGTGTTTGTCTTGTTGCGATGTGAATAAACACATTTGGTAGAGTAATAATTGCTTTTTTGATGAAAATCATTAAATAAAAACGACCCTGAATCTGAACATTGATCAGCTCAAATCATCAACCTAATACAGTACTGCAGCAGTAGAAAAGTTGGGTCAAAATTTGTCAATTGATCATTTGTATAATTTAATTGAAAAACAACAATCACTGTAATAAAAGTTGACTATTGATTCAGCGGTGTCGCATGCACCTTGGGCTCGATTTCAGGTTGATGTTCGATTCTTGGAGAGTCATCGTCACCGAACTGAACGCGAGGTGCTCTTGGAGAAAGGGAATTTGTTATGCCGGCGATTGATGTCGGTTGAGTCATATCTGGGGTGGTTAAAACGCTCGACGTTGAACCGGGCATTACTTGTTGCTTTATCACGTAGCGGCGTTTGCCAGTGCTTCAATATTTCATTGGTGTAATTTCAGCTTTAAAAAAATGTTTGTATGAATGATAAACAAAATTAACCTCGTATCAGTGTCACTACCCGATGGATCAGTATGAAGTCGTCTTGTTGGTGATACGGATATCCTGAATCGTCTTTGATGTGTAGGCATCATTGATGCTTCCTGAAAACAGTCACTTCATCTGAATCAGTAAAAAACATCGTTTATTCAGAAAATGAACGCCAANAGTCGTTGTTCCTGTATCTCGTCCATTGACGGCCATGGAACAAATTCTGTTGCCATCAACTTCGGATCAAATCTTAAAAACGATCATAATTCATTTGAATTCTTTACACTGTTGCTTATTTTCCTGCTTTCGTTTCTTTCTGATATGTTGTTCTGCTCAACAACGCCACTGCACTTGGACTAATAGGTGCTTAAAGTACGTAGAACATGATTTTATAATTCAGATATTAGCAATAAATGGGCAATTACTGCAGACGACGTCAGAAGTTTTCCTCAATCGAAAATTCAACACATAAAATTTGAGATTGCTGAGGAATGAAGGCGGAAATCAAATTTACACGTGAGACTACGTTAGAGCAGATGAAAGATAATTCACTTGTTAGTTCTTCATCGTCGTCAAAACGTTATTGAATTTAGCATCAAATGCATACTTTTTGGTAGAAGAAATTGATGTTGTTTCAGCTCGTCGCCCAGTTTCCTGTTGTTGATTTTGGTTAGTAGGTGCTTCATCAACTGGGCATTCCTCTTCGATTTCCTTCTCACGATCAGCTGCGATTATTGGATCAAGCGAAGGCTGATGAAGATGAGGATATGTTGATGGTTGTGGCTGACAGACAGCAGACGGCCGTATTTTTGAACCATTTCCGTTTAATCTTTAAATTGCATTCATGGTGCGATTGCTTCAAGGGGAATTTGCAGTGTTTAGAGAATGTTGAAGAGTTGTCTCAAATGAGTAACAATCCCTCTCACGTATTTCTGGGCTGTGTTAACTGAGTGTTAACGAAGTTGGAATGCTTTTTTTTGAGGGAGGAAACGATGAACCGATTTCAGGAGTACCAGGTCAAACTGCCTAAAGACATTTTGCCTAACGGCAGTTTGNCAAACTGTCCGTTAGGCAAACTGTCCGTTAGGCAAACTGTTGTTAGGCGAAATGTGTTTAGGCAGATTGACCGGTCACGGATTTCAGGCAAGTGAAAGTAAAGGAACAAGAAATTTGATGGAATTCCTCCATAAAGGAGGAATAATATTCGTGAAAGAAAGTTTGAAAACATTTTTGGTAAGTGAGGCGGGTGCATTATTAATTGCGTGAACGATGGTTAGTTGACAGCAGCGGAAGAGGAAATGAGTACGATGCATACACGCTTTCATGCACTCGAATCGAAGCACAGGTATCGTCTCGTGGCAATAGCGTCAACGATTTTCGATTGAATCCACTCGCTATTGAATATTCATCGGATGGATTTTCATATAAACTTGTTGGCGAATTACACTGTATGGAATGTCTTGATCCTGATACTGTTGGGAACAGAACTGTGAATGATCCGGCATCTGCGTCTTTTGGGAACGATGAGGAGAGCATAAGTGATGAACCTCTTAGGGGACGGATTAAACGACTAAAATATCTGATTTCATATTTTCAGTCGTCCATTCATTAGACATTTTATTTACGATTAGTAAAGTTTTGCATCGCATGCACAAACACACATTGACGGTTGGGATTTATCCATTTTCTTGCGTGGTATGAGTGCAGAATATGAGAAGATCAATTTATATGAGTCAATAATTAGATATAAGCCATAGCTCAGACTCATTAACATCAAAACAGTCTCCCGTTTGCGGGGAGAAGCTTTGCTCGAAAGCGAGTGATGTACCAATGTCAATTTAAGGTGTTTAAAATGATTGACATTCTACAATGTTGAAAAATTAGTTTGATTTCAGTTGGTTAGTTGTTGTGTGTACTTGGAAAGAACGTTTGAATTTGTGAAATATACCGTATTTCTTCAGGAGTAACCAATTGAACAACATCCTCTTGTACATTATACGAATAATCACTCTTTGTCTCTTCATCAGCTTCGTTGAACCAATCGTCAACGCGATCAGTCGTGTTGCTTTTGGCTAACGAAATTGATTTTGATATTGATTGCGGCTTTGACTGGTATTCATTCATTTGATCGCATTCAATATCCTTTTTATTCTCATCGTTCTCATCTACTGATCTGCAATACGCTTTCAAAATAGTTCATTCACTCAACGCACTGTTTTTTTTTCTTGAAAAGCAAAATACAACGTCGGAAAAATTTCTCAATTTTAGATTGAAATATTTCGATATTCGCTGCTTCTCAAACTCTTACATCGAAAGCAGTGGAACCGTTATCCTCGAAGAATATATTAAGGCTCATACTCAGGCAAAGTGAAGCCTTTTCTGGGCTTAGATTAAGGTCTCCAATTGGTGCTAAGATTTCATGCTTCAAAGCCTTCAAGAGACTCAAGCTGAAGCGTACCCAGAGGCTCGTCCTTGCTCACGATCATGCTACCCTCATAATTTTGTAAGTTTCAATCAGATTAATCTCAGTTTCAATCAGTTTCCTTTCATTTCGAATTAAAATTTTGAATTTTGTGCCACATTCC